GGACTTTTTGCTGCGCTTCATCCCCTAAATACAGGGTGAGGGGTAAGAGCAGATCATCCTCTCCTAAGCAGATGCTCCCGACATCCCCTCAGCTGGCCTGAGATCATATCCCTCCCCCTCCTCCTCTCAAGAAACACAAATCCTAAAGCTTTTAATTCACTGAGTTGTGTCGTGAATGGTTTTTTTTTGGCAGAAACATTAAATATGAGCATGAAAATGGTTTTATGTATTGCATACACTAATAACAATAATCTACATCTGCTGGGCATGAGAGATCAGTGTAAGGCTGCTGCAAATTGAATGGCTCAATTAGGGTACCAGCACTTTTAGACTAAGTAGACTCAGTGTTCACAGAATAATTTCACAGCTATCCTTGAAGAATTCCTCCCTCAGTACCCTTAGGAAAATGGCACATCATTGTCACTAAATACTAATCTTGTCTCCTTGGTTGGTAGGTAGAAGAGAGGTGTCAGTGTTGCCTCACATTGTTCAAGGCCCATATTTTATCAGTTTATCTTTCCCTTAAGCAGTACGGCAGGTAAAGAAGACATGATGCAGATGTAAAGACTTTCTGAAGTACTATCAATTTAAGATAGAGCCCAATCTCACGATGCACTTGTGAGTCTCTATTCCCAGAGAGCTCCAGTGACATGTTGGGACACCCAGGCTGTGTCCCATGCGAGGCTGTTAGGTGTGGAAGGGAACAGAAATCTGAACAAGGGTACATGTAACTGATCCAACTGGTCTGAGGCCAGGGAAATGCTTATAAGTGCACAGGGACCCTATTTCACATCCCTTGTGCTTGTAATACATCATCTGGATACTATGACAATTTTGTCTCTAACTAGATAAGTCAGTAGAACTATCCGAGTCTGCAGGAGTGCTGTGTGTTGGTAATCTCCACAACGTCAAGTGGAAACCATTTGGCTGAAAAGCAGCAGCAAAGTCTGCCCCGAACAGCTGTCTCTCTCTTCACTACTGTGAAGACTACAGTGTCTTCTCTACTCTGTAAATGTTTGGTCCTTCCTTTCCCCATTCTGCTGAACACAGGTCACTTTTTGAAAATCTTAAGACAAGCAGATGCAACCCTACCGCACTCATTCTACTCTGGCAGCAGGAAAGTGGCTCATCTGATTGCCCAAGGACTCTGCCAGATGGCACCCGGCTATCATACTGCTTGCCACTCAGACTCCAGCCTGTCTTTGCATGGCAGCAGAGCCAGGGATCTGTTATGCCCACTGAGCCTCTGGCCGTATTACCACATCACAAAGGTTATTCCCAGCAGAAGCAACTTAAAGCATCTGTGACAAGTTTAGCAGTCAGTTTTTCACCACCAGTTCAGAACAGGAGTGCTGCATTAGACTGATTTAAACCTTTCTCTTGTCTATCCAGAATGGCACTTGGTAACCCAAGGCATCTTTTGCTATGTCTCTGCCATTGTCTAGACTTTCCCAGTGTTTCATCTAAAATTGCCTACAAAAGTCTTTCAAATTTCATGGTGGATTTTAATTATATTAAAAACAAAAAAAGCATGGTCCTTTTGTTCAGAAAATATACAGCTTGGTATACATGCATTCCCCAAAATGGGTTAAAAACCAACCAGACCACACCATCTCTCTCATTATGCAAGTTGTTGAGAAGCACAGGAAAGCGTAATTGCTGTTATTCCATTATTTCCACTCCTTAAGTGGATAGAAGACAGACATGAAGGTTAAGCTTCTCTGAGCTTTTTCATTCACTATTTTATGAAGCCCTAAGGCCTTGCTTGCTCTGTAAGAACTTACTGAAGTGATGTGACTATTTTTGTTAAGACACATGCTTTTTAGAATAATGTGTAAACTCAAGCCTACATACAGTAATAAGCCTAGGTGGCTGGCTTGACATTCAGACTGATCACTTGGGAAATGACAGTCACCATTTGGCAATTTTTTGGCTGGCAGAGGAAGAAGAGAGTTTGAAATTCAACTTGATTGACTTAACCTGAAGAAGATGAATATACAAAACAAAAGTAACACTAGTGAAATGCAGTGTAGAATAGAGGGCAAAACAGGATTTTACAGCACTTAAGAAGGTCAGAGTTTGCAAATCCTAAAAACACGTTTAAAAAAACCCAAAAACCAACAAAACCAGACACCCCCAAGTTTCCAGCATTTACAGGTTGATAAAACTGTTCCTGTTGTACACAGGATTTATGAGCATGATTTGCTGTACTGCAGAACAAGTAACGCTGCAGGATGTGAGATTTCATTACCAAGAAATGAGATCAGGAATTGGCTGTGACTTAGACAGGTGAAAACAGATCTTCTACCTATAAAAGCACAAGTCTATTTTGCATTCTGCAGTCTAGACAAACCACAATGTTTTCTCATCAGTTCTTTCTGCTACACTGGAGCACTTACTTTTAAATGAACTCTGTCCTGCTATCAAGCTGCGAAGCAATATAAAAATGTATGCCACATCTCCCATTAGTAAGATGATGCATTGCAGAGTATACGACAGGAATCCTCAGGGAATACTTTGGGATTAGAAGTGAAATACTGCACAGATGGGATTGCTGGGTAAGGGAATTCCCTCTGCCCCATATAGGGCTCAGAACATTTGGAGCTTTTATATGAATAAGCAAGATCAGGCCATTTTACATTGTAAATATTTAAAGTACAGGCAAAAAGATGTAACATACTTCAAAACCTGAAAAAATAGGGCAGTTACAGAGATATAGACACTTGTGCTGCTCTTTTTTCCTCTGACATACCAAATATTCATTAACTTCTAGAGAAGGTGAAAAGGTGTGAAAATATAAGGACAAGGACAGAGTTCTCATGCAAACTGTCAGAAGCTCAAGATTGGCCCCATTTCTCTCTTCATACTAACCCAAGACTGAACCACAATTACTCTTTGAATACACTCACTCTCTCAACCATCAGCAGTTAAAAATTTAGATCCGCTCTCTGGCAGATTACTAGAGTTACAGCCTTGTCTGCTGTTGAGAAACAGGTTACACAACCTCTAAAGCCAATAAAGCTCCCAGACAAGTCCTGTGTTTATGGGAAGATACCCCACCTTTCCATTATGGTCTATCTAGTCATTGTTGCCCTCAGTATCAAGAGATCAGGTATCCAGAGGATTTGCAAAAGGCACAGAGGGCAGCAACGTGTTAACTCCAGCTGAATAACAAAGGGAGCTGGACCTGACTTGTAAACTCCCCACCTGACACAAGCCAGTGCTAGGTATTAGCACCATGGCACCAAGCTCATTGTTTAAGTATTCCACCAGTAGCTTCAGGTTTCCCTATACATGATTGAGTCTAGCCATCATTTTCATACTTGGAATGGGATTTTGAAATGCTTGTACTGAACTCCTACAGGAATCTGTGAACCTCCTTCTCACTATACATCTCCCTTCAGCTCACTGCTGATCTAACATGTTTTGTCAAAGTTTTGATGTCTCCTTTTGATTATAACTGATCTAGCTGATTTACAAGATAACTGTGAAGTCCCAGAACAGTCAGAGTTTGCAAGGTCCCACCAAGTACACCCCTAGTGCCTCATAGTGGGATCACTACTGACCGATACTTGCCTAGGGTGTCCCACAGAAGCCCAGTGACACAGGCTCCACACAACCTCTACAGGCAATCTTTTTCCAGTCTACCATTCTCCTTTTTTGAGTCTTAAAAGGAAACATGAACTTGTGCTGCTGCAGCTGGAAGCCATCATGTCCTGTCCTACCCACCACAGACAAAATTAACCCCTTCTTCTAAGAGCTCTTGAAGACTTGTTTATCTCTTGGACTTTTTTCTCCCCTTTGAGGTAAAAAAAAAAAACCTCTTTCAATCTTTCCAGTCCTGCTTACTATACCCTGCTTACTATACCCTTAGCCATCCTTGATGCTCTTTATTAGACTTTCTCTTGTTGTTCCCCATTTTCTTGAAGTATAATGCCTAACAACAGTCTTCCAAGATGAGGCTTTGCCTATGCTCACAGAGGTGAAGGAATCCCTTCAGACATCTTCCAAGCTTTGCTGCCACTTACACATCACAAGATGACAACTTCTTTGCAAAAGCATGACCCTGTATATGCAGCTCCCATTTCCACACCAAAGTCACTGTTTCCAGCTCAGCTTACAGCCATCAGATGGCAGCAGTAGTTACAATTTGGCAGATGACTGCTAGTTGGTGATCTCTGCCCAGGTCCACAAGGATTCCTCTATACTCCATGGGCACAAAATATAGGAATATTAAGTGGTCTACCACTGCACAGCATTACTTTGCTCATACCTCCTGAAAGTGTAGGCAGGGACCCCCAAAATTAACAGGCTAAATTTTGTACCATCCATGTTTCATGCAGGAAGTCTGCTTTTTTAAGACTAATAAAGAAAAGCTGCTGCCACCTCTGCCTACCTTTCACAACCAGACTTCAGCCATCTCAGTGGTTAACTGGTAACTTTGACAAATACTAATTTTAAGAAAAACTTACGCTGAAACACACATCCATGCAAACATTCACACATAATTTCTTTTTCCACAGTATCTTTTGCACCAAGCACTTCAAAAATATCAGTTCTTGCAAGCTCTCTATGAAAAAGCATTTCCCTGATCAGATGGAAAAAACATAGCTTAAAGAGAGGTTAAGTCAACTGCCCAAAGACACAGAATGAGTTGATGACAGTTTTAGACATCTTTCTTATACTAAGCACATTTATGTTGGATCTGCAGAGAATGGACAACTGTATAATGCTGCATAATGCTTTTCAATTCACAGCTATGTACAAAATCGGTTTTCTTCTTGATAATGAGAAGCAAACACTACATGGAAAGAACAGTACTCAGTATCAAATGCACACACCTGATCACAAAGTGTCATCACAGCCTAAACAGAGAGCACTGTCCTTCCACATAGCTGTCTGGTAGCACCTACCCCCACAAAATACATGACTGTGCACATTCAAACAAGCAAGCTAAATACACTCTACCAGAAGAAAATGTCCTTTGGTTTGAACCTTACCTTTCCACAAGCCACCATGGACAAGGCAAGCTGGTACCAGAGGTGAAATTCATCAAATGCAAACTTCATAGCTCTCTCCAAGCACTGAGAAATAAATGTTCGGAAGAACATCAGACTTTTTTGTTTTTGAAAATATCTTTTGTCAAGAGTACTGCTTGGCTCACTAATCAAATTAGGGGAAACAATCTCTTGTGGCCCAGGGCCCAGGTGACTTTTAGATTTTTGATGACATCATTTTCCTCTTCCCAGTTATTGGGGCTTGCTAGCATACACCATCACGTCAGATGACAGCCACTTTGTTCAAGTGCCTACATATAAATTATTTTCATGTTTCAAACAGTTCTGTGCACACTTCTGGCCTGTGCTGCCATAGGTCTGTAGCTGTTTCTACTAATTGCCAACTAGTGTGCTTCATTTTCACCTTCCCCGACAAGTTGCTGCAAAGAGGGGGTTTGATTGCACGTTTCAAATGGCAGTTTCAGCAGAAGCCGGGAGGAGGTACCTCAGAAAGCATGACATACTGCCCTCTTCTGCCCAGCGTGATACTCAGAAGGTCGTAGACTGCAGAAGCATCCCGGAGGCTGACAGCTCGGTCATCCTGCTGGTCTGGCGCTCGGCTGATCACTGCGTCCCGGTTTGCCTGGGCACAGACACAAATGAAGCTTCAGACCCCAAAAGAGCAAGAAAGAACAGACTCCTCCATAGGAAGTTCCTCCCATCATCCATAGCATTGTTTAAAATCTCTAGTTGTTTTTGTTTTCAACTCATCCCAACACAAGGAAGGCGTTTCCATAGACTTAGTTTTTATCCACACAAAGCGAACCCAAGAAGATAGCTGTATGTACAGAAAGCAACTGCTAGGAATACCTCATCTGGATTTGTGTCACAGAATTAGAACATTAGGAAACAGACCTAACATCCCATTTCTGCAATAATTAGAAATTCAAGGCCATTCTTAAACCACATTCCTTATTACTTCAACCACCTGCAACTGTGGTAAAATATCAACCATGGAAATAGTTATCTTCTGTCTTTGCACTTGATTTCTTCCCAATAGCATGTGGTTTTGCTCCTCTTTTCTGCTACTGACTTTTTATTTCTCAATTTGAGCAGGTTGCCTTCGTAATCAGATTTGTCTGTCATCAATTTAATGCAATTAGAGGTCTGGGCAATGCAATACCAAATAATTATTTAAAAATATCGTATAAATGTTCATTTTGCATAATCTATCAGTGCATTGCTCAGCCTAGATCGAAAAGAAACATTATTTTTGACAGATGATGATCAGTCTAGCAATTTGTGAGATCCCAGGCTCTCTGTTTTCCAAGCAGAGAGGGGGAGATTCCAATCCTAGAGTAAACAGAAAAGTCTCTCTAATTTCTGAATGCAGAGGACTTCACTCAGACTGCCTCACCTCCAAGACAGCCCAGTGCTGGACACCAGAGAGTGCTAGCACTGACTGATAGCACAGATACACTGCCCTGGGCTCCTCAGCTGAAAGGGGTGCAACACCAGACATTCAGGTCTAGACAACTAAAAGATCAGAAAAATTAAGAAGATTGCCAGCAGTTTCACCTGAGGCAATCGTTCCCTCCCTGAAGCTGGAAGGTTATGAGATTTATTTTATAATACTTACTACTATAATTTTACATCCATTTCTTTCTAATTGCAGGGAGATTTTTTTCCTAAAAAGGCTAAACATGGGAATTAAGTGTAATAAAAATTTCCAGAATATGTAGCCGTTAAAGCCCACGCATATTTCATTATGATTAAGCTGCAGCTGTTTCATCATGATATTATCTGTGTAATGCCCCAGTTCCAAGCACTCTTCATCACAGCCTCCAGCCGAGACAGCAAACACAATTACTGACAACTAACACAATCACAACCAAGAACTAAATGGCGACTGCAGTTGAAGGCAAACTGACAGGTCAGACTCAGTCTAGTGTTTGCACAAATAAACTTACACCGACTCTTGTAGCCACAAAAGGATTTTTCTTTTTAAAGAAAAGAAAAAAAATATCACAAATTATTCAAAAGACATAATTTGTGATTTTAAAAAGTAGTTCAGAACAATAGGTTGCATGAAAGAATGAAGCCACCTTCAGAGAGAAAATTTTGCAACCAGAGTACAGAAGCATAGCTCATCTACCACTATTGGCAGAACTAAACAAATAAGAATTTTAAAAATACATGTTTAAGCCCTGTTTAGATTTAATCCAAGACTGCTATCTTAAAAGGAAAAAAACAGGTTAAATGCATATACAGAATGATTCTGAGATTGCTACTTCAGAGTTAAAGACAAAACATACACGGAACGATCCTTATTGACAAGTGAATCCTCCTACATATATACAATAGCATTAATAATTTTTTCTGCACTGATTATATTGTTGTGACAATTGTTTGTAGAAAATAACTACTGAGATAGAACTCCTATGTTGTGTTACTCATCGACCTCCCATTAGTGTCAGCTATAGCCTGATGCTTTTTTGGGTATCTATCTACTACCAAGCTATGAATTTTAATTTGATGCGTTAGCACAGATAGGAAATTAATCAGAACTGGTTAATGCCCATTAATGTCTGCTAACAGACATTGGTACTAGAGAGAACATGTCCAAATCTTGCAATAAGCAGTGATGTGCGACATATTACAAGGATGAAACATTCTATAATTTCAGTTGAACATATCATACTTTACCTAAGCAGACAGCAGTTAAAAACAACATATGGATAGACATGACTAATATTCTTTCCAAGAAGGTCATAAACCTGCTTATTTTGTTCAAGCTTTCAAATATCAAAGCTATAGAAGGTCTGTGTAATCTATCACTCTCTGTACTTGCATGCATAACAGTTGCCACAAAGCAAATTCACTATCACTTCTATCCCAACATTTTTTTTAATATGGAACCTATTTCAAAAAAAAAAAAAAAAAAAAAGTGTCAAGAAGCTCCTGCATTATCACAGAGATATTAAAAAAAAAAACCAAACTCAAAACCAAAAGGTGCAAACCTCATAACAAACTGACTGAACAGCAGCAAGGACATGGAGTGTGTCTAACAGTAACGTAAATCATCGTACCAAGGCTCAAGGTATCATTCACTACTGCAGTGTTACATACAGGAGGGTGGAAAAGGGAATGTGAATCACCATTTCTTGAAACCCACTCAGGGAAACTGGAATGTTTCTGTGGCCTGCCTCTCACAGAAGGAAGGGTGCTGTGACCCAGATCACCATTAGCCATTTTTTTTGGGCTTTACCTTTGTTTATGTTTTTGTAAACTTTGATTTGGCAGTGAGAAATCCTGACAGTTGCTGGCAATTACTGGTGCAACACAGCCTACACCTATTCTGTTGGACACAGAATTTTACTTACTGAAACATACACAGAAAGATATCTCATTTTGCATTTGAGAATGCATAAATTCGAAGCCATTTACAGCAACATTTTTTCAATACCTGTGTTTGTTTTTTTTCAGACCACTAATTTTCCTGAAGACAAATGGAAAAAGGGTTATTTGTAGAACACACATCTCCAAACAGCGGATCAATAACATAAGCAGCAATTCCCAATTTGTCCTACCACGTTACTAGTTCTTCCTCCTCCACTGTAAGCGCAGTAAAACACAGCTACAAATACATTTTCAACACCCCCAGCATGACTCTTCCCTTTAAGCTGTTCCCATTGTCACACAGACATGCCTCACAGCACACAAGCAGGATGCAGAGAGATGGTGAGTCACACCATTAAAAGAAGAGAACCTCTGTTCAGGGCTGTTGTGTGGGATGGAGAAGGTCACCAATGCTACCAAGAGGAGTTTCACCATTGGGAGATGGCGTCACTTGCATTATACAGAGCAAAAATATACAGTCAGTGCCCCTTTATTTGAGGTGCTCCTAGGTAATGGATCAACCCACAGATGCAGATTGTATTTGCATATTCTGAGATGTATTAGACACAATTAGCTGTGCATGCAGGTGGCTCAGACATGACACCAACCCTATCTGAGGAGATAAGACACATCCCGCACTCAGCCCAGACTGAGCCACACACAGGACAGTGAACACCTTCAGCCCTCCCTCCCTTTCTGCAGCCCAGGGACACAGCCCATCTGCAGGCCACACACATCCAAAAGGTTCCAGCACAGGCTGGTGCCCCCGAGCTGACCTAGCTAGCGCTCAGCCACTGAGGTGTCCCCATATCATGCTTGAAGCCCCACTCAGGTGTTCAACCTGACCAGGCACAGAACCGACTGGCATTCAGCAGGGCTTTTTCAGTCAGGCTCCAAACCACAGCAATACAACAGTATGGGACTTTCAGACCCATGCTGGCTCTGACAGCAGGGAAGAGATCTGCCTTTCTGGGGATCTGCAATTTAACTAACAACTCTCTGAGCTACAGACAACTTGTGTCTTCCTATATACAATATATGTACTGGCAAACTAGATAAGCGACCTATCCACAGAGGATTTGCTGTACATCAGTGACTCTGATAATTACAACTTATTTATGGCATGTTTATTACATGTAGAAAGGAAGAGAGCCACAGCAAATCCAAACAGCCATTACTTCAGCAGTTATTACGCACGCAGTTACGCTGCAGAAAATTAAATTTCACTACAGTACAAAGATGTGCTTCTTAATAAAATGTCAAGCAATCATATGAATTACAATAGCATTATACATAATATTCCATGTAGCAACCCCTTCTCACAGCAATTAGCTGTGAAGTATCCTTTAATTGCTCACTTTGAAACATGGTTCCCCCTGCTTTTTTCCAAAGAAGAAAAAGAAAGCAATTAAAATCTTTAATGAGTGCCTGCTGCCTGCCCCCTAATTCATGGGCATTCTAATGTTCAACTTGTGTCTCTTCATAATAGACATAATTGCCAGATTCACTGCAACCCATCTATACAGAACGGCGGCATGTTTTACACAGTGTACTGTAATAATGTAATTGGTGTGATTCAATACTAGCATTAAGAGAGAAAAACAAATGCTATGTGTGTAAGATTGACAACAAGCCTTTGAAATCATGCAATTGATGCCTCTACTGCTAAAAGCTGGGAAATATTTAGCCCATATCCTTTGGGTCTCCATTCTGGCTGTTTTGCCTGTACTGCCAAGAAAATGAATGAATTCTTCACAATGGCAAGGACCCATTCACATGAAAGAGGCTACAGACTTTTCACCTAAGTTATTGATAACCCCTACACAGCACTTGAAGGTGCCCCTCACTAACATATACAAATAAAATATTCAGGGTTGATTACAAAGCTGCAGTGAAAATGGGAAGCAGGTAGAACAAGGAGCAAATATCATACCTCAGCCACCCCCAAAACTCTTCTTACAGAGATAACACAACTTGTTCCACACTTCAAACGAGAAGCACAGCAAATTAAAACTTACTGCCTTGTGAACTTACTGGCATCAGTCTCATTTCTGGTAAGCAACAGGTCACAAATTACTGGTACCCCATTCAGATGTCTCCGCAAAATAGCCCATTAGTTATCAAACATGACCACATAGATATATCTTATCTCTCACCAGGTATATTTTAGCATCTTGTACTGTAGCAGAAGCAATTCTGAAACATCACTGAAAGACAGACAGACATAACTCCCAGCCAAAACAGCCCAACAACCCCACACAAAAGAAGAGAGGGGGAGAAAGTCATGAAGCCATTTGATTATGGATACTATCTTAGGTAACAAATTCGCATCTTTGCTATCAGTAACCTGCACTTTGAAAGCTATGTTCAAAGAATTTGCATCCTCCTTGCAAGTTTGGGAATAAGACTTCCTACTGCAAAGCAGAAGAAAAAAGTTCTCTACCCCATCTCTAGCATGTCAAGTTGGAACTATTTATTCAAGAGGCAATTAACAGAGGAGGTGTATTTTCCACTAGAAACATCCTGCAATTCATCTCTGCAAGTCCCAAACACATAGCTTTGCCTTGCAGACCAGTTAAAGAGACAGTCAGATTTGCTATTGTAAGTGTATGACATGACCATGGTTTGGCAGGAACCAACAGAGCAGGCAATCCTGTCTCCAGTTGTCTCTTTCAGCTGCCATAGTCCAGTAGCCCTCAAGAAAATACTCATGATGGTCAGCCAGCTGCTGTATCATCACTGGGCTTGGTGGCACTGAAAATTTAAAAAATCCTACAGAAGCAACACGAGACTCTTCTTCTTCACCAACCCATTTGTTGGACAGCATTATTTTATAAAGCTAGGAACTGCAGAGCTGACAGGTTATAATTATTTCTGTGCTTAAAAATGCATGGGTTTAATCTTATTCCATTACAGGCATGCTCACAGCCATGAGCTTGCTCTCACCAGTAAAAAGAACAGAGCAAGTCCCAGTATCTTACTTCCTCCCTCATCATGTATTCTGTGCTCTCAGGCTCTCCAAGGTCAAATCGCCTACAGGGATTCAAATCAGAGATAAGATGGGGATGACATTTTCAATCTTTGTCACACAGGCACAGAATTTATTAGTTTTGGATACAAGAAGCTTAGTTTCCAGTATGAGTGAAGTGAACACAGAGCCAAAAAACCCAATCCATGTTACCTGGTATGTTTGGTGAACTGCATCAGCCAGAATCCCCAGCTCTAAGAGCCAGGGCTGAATAAAGGGGTTTCAGACTGTGCATTGCAGAATCAAGAAGGGAAGTGCAAACAAAGAACTTTTTCTTTATTTTTTACCTCAAAAGTAAACACAAAAAGTAATAGAAAAGTGTTCTATTCCTGGCTCTGAGAAACTTTTGGCGAACTTTGAGAGGCAGTGCAGTCAACTTGGAATACTCCTGAGAATGGCTTTATTAAAATAAACAAACTGCAGCTAAGGGTTAGTCCTGCCAAGCCTCCCCTGCCTACAACCTGCAGCACAAAGCACCAGAGTCCCAACGGCAGAATCAGTGCCATTCCCACTGGTAGAATGATGCAGAAAAACCACACTGCAGCGTCACAATATGCCTTCAGTTCTCCCCACAACACAGAGTAGCATTGGTTTTGATGGCTTAAACGCAGTAAGGAAGAGGAGTAGTGGTTTAAAAATAGGACAGTCCATTTTTTCCAACATGTGATAGGAACACATCATTCTACCACAGCCTAAGCTTGTAAAGGCTGTCACCAGCTGGCCTTCTCCTTGGTCTGAAGGAGAGCATTTTCCTCCTATCACAAACGCAGCCCATCCATACCATAACTTGGGCTATGCAGAAGGAATGAGAATTTAGCCAGGAGGCCACAAACCCCCTTAAAGACAGTCCTGACTGTGGTAATCTTTAGGCTGCCTGATTTGTTTCACTAGATTCCTTCATGAGAACTCTACAGCCAGCCACCGTGACTAAGTAACAGCTGGCATGGAGGAGGAGTACTTGCCAAACTCAACAACTGGGATGCTTTTCATTGTTTACTGAAATGCCTTAGCTTATGAACATAGGTTCCCATTTTCAACAAGACAGAAGGAATACAGGAGGCAACTCAGGAGAGTGTCAGGAAGAAATAGGCCTCAGTCTTTCACTATAAGTGTTAATATACCCACGGAAGCATCTTCAAAGCTATGAAATAGGCTACCATGTTATTTGCACATCTGTAAAACTTTTACATGCTTAAGTGAAATACTGAAGGAACCCTTAATACCCCTTTAGAAGCTATTCTCATTTCACCTCACCAGAACATGCAAAGTTGCTCCCTTTCAATGCAAGGGAAGCCTCCAATGCAGAAAAGCTGGGGCAGCATCACAAGCCAGAACCCAGCATCACTAAGACTCAGAAAAGGCTTGCTGGAATGTAGGGTCTGGCTCACAACAGACTTCTTTTTTCCCCTTTCCCCCTTCCAGGAACAGTTCTTGTAACCCCCATGACATCTTCTGGGGAGCTGCACAGATCCCAGCAAAGTAGATGTTAGCTTCACTTTAAGAAGGCAAGACAGACAGAAAAATTGAGTGAATTTCAACAGCAAGCTACCTAGCACTGATCTACTCCCTCCCTGTATGGTTCAGGGGGGAAGAAAAGGTGTTGCACGTATATACTACTTTAAAAAGCTAATCATGTCCCCTTTTCATCAAATGTAGCACTTATTTACTTTGAGGTTCTCTGATGATTTAAGCCTCTCCCCAGTATATCTTTGTTCTGTGTCCCCTCCACATGCTAACAATTCTTCTATGTCTCCTCCCCCCAATTTTGACCTCCTTGAGCTCATTTTGGAATGGCAAAAGTGAGGAACAGGCATGTGGGACAGCTGTTTGGCTTTGCAGTCCTGCAAAAGAGTTATAATGGCATGGCTGCTCTTTTGTTTCTTTAAAAATCAGACAGGAAAAGTACCTTTCCAGCGAGTTTTGCTCTGACAGAGCAATCAAAGTGTCAGAGAAACTGGAGAGTTCCCAGCAAGCCAACCTAATTGTATACTTCTGTTTCATTTAAAAGGGTTCATAATTGTAAATACTGAAAGAATGCCTAATCCAGCCAAAATTGAGGAACACCAACTATGTTGCTTACTGGCTTACAGAAACATATCATTATCACTTGCTACTGACACTCTCTCCAGGAAAGAAAATATGTTTTATTCAGTTGTTAACACTGTATCATTAGGGAAATCTCAAATGAAAATCTGCTTCTTGTTAACTCATTTTCCATGAGCTTCAGCAAATTTTGAAAAACAAAACAAAAACCTTTAAACAAGAAACAAACCTGTACAAGAGAAAACTCACTAGCCTACAACAAAGCTGTCATGGAAAAGATCTCATGTCATAAATTAAAGAAAATTTCCCCTTCTTAGTACCATAAAACTACAGGAAAATATTTATGGATTGCAAACATGTAAATCAAATTGCTCCCTCTGTTCCTTCACTTCCTTCCACATTCCTGTGGTCCCAAAGTGTACTTCTATGCACAGCTTTATTTCTATACACTTGTCTTGTATTTTTGTTAAAACAATAAACTCACGATAGGCCTATTGCTAATGCAAAAGAAAGGCTCGGATGTTCCATTTCCCAAAAAACATAAAGACAGTTATGGTTACTGCAGTGTTCTGCTACAAGATCTCTGATTATTTAATTATTTATATACAGCAGATCTAAATGCCTTGTACGTACCTCCAGAAATTTCCTATATATATAAGACAGCACTTAAGCAAACACAAGCTTACTTAGTTAACTTTGAAGTCAGCACAGCAGTCCAGTTCCTATCAGTAGCATTTTCACACTGCTTCATCCATAAATTAGTCACAGGAGCAGTTCACCATTTTACACACTACTGGATAAAACAAGGATAGCTTTCATTCCCCTCAGAACAAGACTATAGAGTTCAAGTTCCCACAAGGCCTTTATGACTGCAAGCCCAGTCCCAGAAAAGGCTGGAGCAGCCGGTACTGTGACTGCTGCAGACCCCTGATCACCTCCCGCTTGGATCAGCCCTGACAAGCAACGCTGACATGAGTTCTTCTGATTTTAATGGAAGTGCATGTGATGTTCTACAAAGCCCTCAGCCCTGGAGTCTCCACTTCCAACCACGAAAAGCCCTTCTAACTGCAGAAACACCCTTGAAAACACAAAGCAGATGTACTGTAAAGGCTTAATCTAGACAGCACTAAAAAGCACGAAGTATAGTAACACTCAAACATACCTGATTAAGACAATTTAATATTTTGGGGTGGTTCCGCCTCTTCAATTTTCCCCCAAATTTTAAAAGCAAACAACATTAAATTGCCATGTTCTGAAGAAGTTTGCAGGATAGGGGAAAGACTTGAGCCAGAAGAACCAGCCAAAGAAAAACTGAGGGAAGCAAAAAACAAAACTTCCATAGTATCTCTTTTCAACTTGTCTGAAAGCTGTTTAAAAGTTCCTAAGAGGGTCACTGAAGCTCCAAGGTTTTCAAATCTCACTTTTAGCAACAATTTAAAGCAAAGTAACGTTCCTTACACATTTTCAGAACACATTTCTTACACATTTTCTGTACATTTGCATCTTCTCAGAACATGAAAATGATCAAAGTTTACCATGCAATTTTCCATGCAGCTGTTTTTTTCCACCTTTTTCCCTTCCTCTTAAAGGAATTTTTTTAAGCAACATGTTATAAATAGAAGAAATCTAATTATTTCACTGTACTTCATTAGGGATGTTTCTGCATGTGACAAAACTCCCTGTACCATCATCATCAGACACTGCCAAAGATCACTCAGGACTGAAATAACTAAAATATTATTCCTGCAGACTAAGGAATATAAGCAGGATACAAATTCCAAACAGTGGGTACCATCATCATGCCTGGCTTTAGGCAAGGCTCCCTTCGTCTCATTCTTGATCCATAAATCCACACAGATGTTTTGAATGGAAACATCCATCTACTGACAGGGTATCTGGATGTCAGAACGTGCATGCAGCTACAGTGAATGCAGTCACTTCCTCTTCTTGACAACTCCCAAACCCCTTCACTGACAGTCCATTTAATGAAAGTGGTGTTACTAATAAAAGAATAAATAGCATTTCCTTTTCAGCAGCTGAATCCTTGTTTCTGTTTATCTAGGGAAGATTCTGTAAACAAAACCAACTAGAAGACCTGACACAGAAACACCAGATATTCCTTTGTGCTATTAGTACTACAAACTCATTTTTGGCTTACCATGGATTCACTGATTAAGAGAAGAAGAAGAGCCTCTTCTACGTTGTCTTGAGGGCAGTAGGCACTGAAAGACAGAACACATTTTTCTGAGTAAGGTCAAGAGTTATTCTGTCAGCCTCTTTCTCATTTCACAAGAGTAGCAGTAACTTGAAACACCTCATGCATAATTCATGTGTTAGGCAATACTTTCTTTTGCAGGTTCACACAATTAAAAGCTCTACTATATACCCTAGATGAGCTATATTGAACATAAATAGATTATTTCCATTTCACAGCAAGAAAAGCCATTTGGTTGGATTTTCTTCCTTCCTGTGAAAGAAAAATCAAACACTCAAGATTTAATGTTTTACTTTTACAGCAGGCCTTTTGATGGGAAGTTAAAAACAAGAACACACAAAACTACTACATGAATCGGTGACATAATTAGCAGTACCAAAGAGCGTTCAAACACTTTTCTTCCTTCTGCCAATTAACTGAAATAAAAAAGATACTTACTTCTCTTCTGTGTACAGCTCGGGCCTCCGACAAAGAAGATTGCTAACATAAGACTGATCTTCCTTGTTCATGAACTCAGGAAGTGGATCAGATAAAGGGCTCCAGTAACAGTCTTCACTGAGGGAATGGAGAAGTACTTGGGCTAGCTGTTTGGCTGCAGTCTAGCGATCAGTGAACAGTAGAGAAAGAGACACATCAGTGACACCTTCTCCAACACAAAAGATTCTCCTCTCCCCATGTTCCACCTTGGGAAGGAGATAGACCAACAACACAGTAGTACCACTTTTCAGAAAGCTAGAGTAGCTAAAGCAGCTGCTAAAAAGTCTACAGCAGTGGCAGCTTCTTCCCTCCTCTGAAAAGGCCAGTCTTCTGCATTTACATGGTCCTGTTGCAATACTGTAAGAAAAAGGTAATAAGGCGGCCTGCCAAGGGACCCTCTGGTGAATGAAGACAACAGATTGCCACACGAACCACTGAGACAATCTCGCAAATGTTACTATCTTAGAATACGATGGAACTCCACTGCATTCTCAGCCTCAGCATTGTAAGCAAGTCTTAGCCCAGAGGCTACTTTTGTACTAGGCTTAAAAGATCAAACCTTTATCTGTTAATATTACTCTTCCTGCAGCCTTTTACAGCTTCACCTTGGTACTGCTTCTCTTTTTGTTGCAATAATGAAGGGCAGAGAAAAGAAGGTTAGGAACTTATTGAGGCAGCCACATCATATGCACTCTTTTCACTATTGAGCAGCCAAGGATCCTTAAATACTTGCTTTCCAGTTCACGTGCATAGCTTGCAAGCTGGGCACAAAAGGGAGCAAGTTAACTTGACTTTGCAAAACTATCCTTGGTCCTTGTCCCCCACCCAACAAATCTCTAAGTTTTTGCATTGTGAATAGTTGGAACATGCAAATAAGCACAAAGACATCAAAATGGATGGCATCTTCTCTGAATTCTAAAGCATCACAGCACTCAAAGCTGTAAATACTGCACAGAACAGTGGTAGGCTGAAACTTCTCTCATAATAATTGTAAATATTATTCTGGAACTTCTCTGACTACTGCATATGTATCTCATATGCAATTTACACTCTGAGATGTGTTATGAGGCCACCAATAGTAATTTTCTTTTAAATACCAGGATAGGTATGATAACTGAAGCATTACTCCAGTTGAGGTATGACATCTATAGGACCAAATAAATCATACTGAGGTTAAAGTTCCTTTTATCAGATTCAGAAAAATAACTTATTTTGAGGCAAGGTTCTTTATTTCCATCCCCCTCACCACACATGAATTCAATGACATTCTAAAATGCAACCACAGTAACATGTACGGTTTCTTAACACCAGAATAGGAGGTTTCATAGATACACCTAGCAAATGGCAAAATGATCTGAATATATAATGGTGCCTCAAAGAAACATTGTCACGCACAGCTCCCTGGAAACCCCAAGACCTTCCATGTACTCCTAACAAGTTAAAGAAAGCCTTCTATTTCTAACTAGGCTTTTCTATGCTTTTTATAGCAAGTAACCATGAGCAAAATAGCCTAGGGCCCTGCAACATTAGCCAGTATCATTTTATCATCTCAGTGTGTAATTATTTAGTCAGTTTTACCCCAAGGAGCCAACTCTCCTTTATTTTTTCCTACAGTCTTAGAGGGGAGGGAAAAATAATGACAGCAACAAAAAGATCTCTGCTGGTTCACACAGAAGTAGGAGTACAGTTTGTGATAAGCCTTTCAAAAGGCAAGCATCAACTACTTTTAGTGTCTTTGATTTTAACATACAGTACAGTAGCTGTGTAAATTAGCTTCACTCTTGTTTTGAATAAGACCAAACAAACCAGAACAGGCCAAGACTCTGACTTATGTTATTACTGCCTTTGGCTAAAAAAAAGCATCATTATGCTTGAAGAACACCATGATCCCAAAAATTAGGGGGAAAAAAAAAAAAAAAGTGTTTCACTTTCATGCTTGAAAAACTTGTTTAAAACTTGTTTAATTAAGGACGTTCCTCCCTTTGTCCTCTTGACAGCTCTTTACAAATAGTAAGAAAATGAATAAGCAACTTTCAATAAAATGAAAATCCCAGGAAAATCTATTGGATGAACACCTTCAGATTTCCCCTTAGGGATAAATCCCAGGGGTGTTGTACAGCTCTCCCCAGTTGCACAGGGAGAGGAGCATTTGAGTGCCACTTTCTGTCATGGTATAGCAACAGCAGATGGTTAGACTCATTTCAGCAAAATGGTAAAACAGGCAAGCAAGAAAAATCCCCTGAACCCTGATCTCAATCTGGAAAAGGACACAACGATTTGAGTGTGACAATTATTTAAGTCACCTCTTCTAATTCCCTGCACAAAGTTCCACATGCATCTGTATTTTCAGGCATAAGGTGGTCCCAAGGCAACAAGAAGTTTCATTTCCAGAACAGAAGTTCCAAAATAGACAAATGTAAGGAACTGAGGTAAAAAAGCACCCAGGATACCCTTTCTGCTCATACTTTCATTTTAGCTCTGTATTTGCATGTGAGCTAGACACACCGTCAGTCCATCCATTGGAACCTGGCACTCTCCCATCTCCAAAATTCTATGCAAATTCATGACCACATCCCTTGCCAAACTTCTCTAATTATACAAAACACAAAGCTTAACCAAGCAAAAAAACAAGTTTAGTTGTATCAATGTCAATGCTTTTAAGGCTGCAAAGTTTTCATTTGTGTTCGAGATTGCTATTCTCCATGCTGCTGACCTTGTCACCTCCTGAGTAACTTCAGGACAAGGTCTCTTAAAGGGGAGACAAGGAAGAACCAGTTAAAGCTCTAAGAAGTTAAACAGGCACATAAATAGCTTTCTCCATGATTTCTTTACCAGAGGCACTCAGTATAACAGGATGAAGAATGCCAACACTAACAAAAAAAAAATAGTCATAAAATTAAAATCACTCTGTACTGTATTGAGAACACTGAAGCACTTGAGTATATAAAAGAACTGCTTGTTGCAAGAGCCAGAAGTCTTATTGCTTCTACATGCAAATGCAAAAAGGTGTGCATGCACACACTGAAAAGCGAGAAAAAAACCAAGACATCACCAGAGGACAGTATTGTCAAACTAAATACATCCCTACTTCTACCAGACCTAGAATGCACTGGAAAAAAAAACCAACAAACAAACCCAGAAGTAACCCACATGCCCAGGTCTGAAGGCTGAGGTTTCAATTGGGCAGGTCTTTGAATTAAGTGCATCACTTGGCACATCACTTCCAAAAGTAAAAAAAAAAAAAAAGAAAGAAAAAAAGGGCAGTAATCAATTGAATGAGGACAAATATATTTTTTGTCCTACTGCAATGGTTACTAAACAAAAAGAATTCCTTCATAGCAGGTTACCCCACCTTCCCATCTCCCATTCCCCTTACCATTTTGAAGGTCTGAGTAGCTTTTGTTTCTGCAGTCCGTAGTATTTCTCGCAGACTCCTCATTCCTTTCACAATATTTCTATGGGGAAGGCAGAAAAAAAACACATCATAAAAAAAAAAAAACCAACAGAAGAAATCAGCACATTGGAGACAAAATATTTTTATGATGCACCAAAGCTTGGCAACAAACTTGACATCAGATAAACTCATGAAACAACCACTGAGCGTGCAGTAGCGAGACAAGTCACTCTGAGGCACAGATAGGACAATGGCACCAAGCGAGGTAGTGACTGTAGCATGCCTACTCCAGATGGCTTCCTAGGAGATCACATTCACATTTGATGAACAGAGGGGACATTTGGAAGCCTTTCATAACTCATATTTATAAAGCAGATGCTTCTTCTTAAAAGCATCCACATCCCCTCTTCATACACACAGATTGTACTTGTTTGAATTACACTGAGTTTACGTGATGCTTTTAAATGACGATTTCTTTTAGGTGGTGCTTAAATGCCTGGTGTCTGAATGGTCCAGACACATGATGAAATTACAGTGCTTTGAACAGTTTATTATCACGCAGCTAATTTGCACTGTCTGTAAGCACAGTTTAACCTGCAATAAAAGAGGGTTAGGTTAAAAAAATAAAAAAATAAAAAAAATCACATTACTCTGCATACATGATGAAAACTTAAAGCAGATTACTTACCAAATCATGTGTCTGAGCATCAAGAGAGATGCAAAGAGGAAAGATTAAACACTGAACATATTACTTAACACACTTGCAGTCTGTAAGTTCTTTAAGGCTAAGGACATGGCCCAACTATCACAGTAACTACAAAACAGTTCAGATCAGATCACTTTTACTGCAAGGTGGAAGCTACCCCAAGAAAAACACATTACCAGAAAAGAAGCAATGCTGCACTGAAATAAAGACAACCAGATAAGCAGTTGTACTGGCACATTAACTGACACTTCAGCTTATTCCAGAATTTTCTGTGCAGACGAAACCCAGACTTCATAAAAAAAAAAGCAAGCCATACACTGTAACAACCTTTTTTGTCAATCTGATTAAATTTTGAAGGTACGAAGTGAGGAACCTTAACAAAATGGATGCAGGACAACTAAGAGAGACACTGGACAGGCAGGATAATGCAATAAAAGGGTGGGCTCTCAGTAGGAGGGACTTTAGAGAAGGAAGGAGCTGCAACTACTGAGTCCCAAGGTAAGCGACAGGACTCAACGAATACTGAGTTATCATGATTATGGAAATACTAGTTGGGTAAAAAGTCACAAGAGGAAGAGGAGGCATCTTCAGTCTCCATCCTGAAGACCCCCGCCCATGACCACCAGTGGGCCAGGAGCCACTGCACAGGCGTAACTAGGAGACCAGGGCAGAACACATGAAAATAACTTCTTAGAACTTGTTATAATAAACCCCACATTTCGTGGGGAGATCATGAATATGTACAGATGTTTTTGGACCTATCATGAATATGTAACACTTCATTGTATAAAGCCAAGTCAAATTACCACAATGGGTGTGCTTTCTAATACGCTGATTCTGAGTCTTAGAGAGTTCTTCCTCGACCGTCTTTTCAGCATCAGGTAAGCAGTACAGACTGCACTTGGGCCCACTTTCACGCACTGCAAACCTTCTTGCACTCCAGAATCAATGGCAAATATTTGAATAAATAAATATTAATAATTTTTTAAAAAGTAATTTGAGAGGGGTGGGTGGTGGGTGGCCAGAATTTAAAATGGGATCACATTTACCATGAATATTGACTACATAAAATGCCACCCTAAAGCTTTTGGTCACCAAGTAACAGAATGTGAATGTGTGTGGCCTTACCTCCAATCAATACTCATTTCAAAATTTTAAACTTTGAGGTAATCTGTAGGTTACCTAGGAGTGGGCAATCTACAAAGAAGCAACTAAATAAGGCAAGAGGAAAAACACTGGAGACTTGCCTCTGTGGAGAAAGTGGGCTGTCTTTTTTTTAATTTCCACTTTAAGTAAAAGATGTGCTTTGAATTTATCAAGGAAAAAAAACTCAAGGAAATTTTTGTGAGTTGGACTTTAGTACTTCAGCAAGTTCTCTTTAACACTTCAGCAAGACATCAGGTGCTCTTCTGTGGGTCTAGAAAAGAATATACCCACAAAGATACATTCTAGACCTTAAACTGAGGAAAATAATAAAGCACGAGGTGATATTTATGCACGAGTAGCCACACCAAATCCAACAGAACTGTTCACATGCTATTTATTATCAGATAGTTAAAATCAATAAATACCCCATCTAAATAAAATGCACTTGCTCAATGCTCTCCTCAGTTACTGAAAACTACTGGCATTTGCTGTGCTTCCTTGGGCTCCTTAAGAGGCTGGACAGAAGAGTTATGGTGTATAATAGTTCTATATTTTCAAGAATGCATATGTTTACTATTCTTGTTAGGACAATGGTATTTAAGTGTCAATGAATTCCCTTAACTAGCATCAGAAGGAAGATTAGCGACTGCTTGCAAAGCCAATTAACTCCACATTTGACACACACTTAATAGACAAAAAACCTAGAGAACATGCTAAAGAGAGACAGTTTTGTAGGAGCACCATTTCAGTTCCACTTTTTAGACAAGGCCATAAACCAAGTTAAGTTTCATGTGAAGCTTCATTGCTCTGGGGGAAAGGGGAGAGGAAAAAGAAGGAATATTGACACACTGAAGTAAACACGGCAAATTGCCATCCATCTGCAAGCAGTCAAGAGTTGAAACCATGAACCATGTGACAAATACCTTGGAATACCTTTAGCAGAAGGTAGAAGTGCAAAATGGGCAGCATGGGAGAAGCACCCAGCACTTGACACCTCCCAGAGAGGTGCTTGTGTGGTCAGGGTCTCTCAGAGAACACCTGCTCCACCCTCTGAGCTCTCAACTCTGGAAGTGCAAAGCACCTAACAACAGTTCCACAGGATTGAGGATTTGGTTTGGCAGCTTTTCTATTTTGAACTTTATTAAACATTACTGAGCCGTGACAGGAGACAGAGCACACCTGCCAGCAGCCTGCAAGCATACCTCACTACAGGAGTCTGTCCTTCCACTCTACTGTTCCAAGTCCAGAGGCCATCTGAGTACACATTTCATTTTAAGCATATGACTTGCACTACTCATAACAATATGGAACTTACTGTTTCATTAATCAATGTCCTTCATATACTACACATGTACTTGAAGAGTTTTTAAAAATTAAGACCTGAAACAGCTAACAAAGAGAAAAGCATGTATTTGAATTGAAATACATGTACGTAGATAAGTGGATGAGGATGCAAACCTAAAGCCTCGGGCAATCCATGGTGAAACTATTTGATCTTGTCTAGATCAGAAACTAAGCAGTCTTGAGCCTCTGCAGAACTTGGATAGAAGACTGGAAATCCCAGGTACTGTTACCTCAAGTCACAGCATGTCAAATCATGGAAATTAAATGAGTTGGAAGAGTCCATGGGCCCCTATTGCACTGCTAAGATACCAGAAGAAGAAATGAGGAAGAACAGGAAGGAAAAAGCACATGGTCATTAAACTGCCTTGGTTTTAGCCATAAAAGTGGTGAGAGGCATTTAAAAAAAAACAAAACAAAACCAAAAAAACCACCAAACCACGATGGAATGTGGTTTAGGATCCAGTTATAGCTAATCTAACAAAGAGGAACACAGAAAATCATGGGCACAAACTGTGACAAAGAGCACCTCGTCTCGAATCAGTCGAGCTTGGCATGAAAATTTGTTTTGTTTGTACAAGTACCCTGTAAATACAGGGTAATTAATTACCAGTCCATGAATCAAAGCAGTTGCATCACATTTATGTCATATTGTTGACACTACACAAAATTTTAAGATACACGAAAATAAAGAAATACACGGTTTTCTATGCAAATTGCTAGGAAAAATATTGATACTGAACCAGAGTGGACTATGGGCAGAGAGGTCTGCAACGACAGGCCCCCAGCAACATGGGCACCAGAAGGTCTTGTTCTTATCCCCACTCATTAAGTGTTAAAACAGTCGCTAACAGTTGGAAGAGACCACCTTGAGAAGACTACATAGCAGTTTGCAAAGCCATCTTTCCAAGGCAAAGGGGTACCTGAAGCACACAAACAGCAGGAACACCACTGCCTCTGCCCAGCTCCTCCTGCATCTTGTTTGGGTTTCTAAAAATTTACTCTCTCCTTAGACAGCTGTTCATGCACAGGCACAAAATGTACTTGAAGAAGTAAGCCTCTGAATCTCAGATTCCTATCAATGAAGATATAAGTAACAACAACAAAGTGCATTAGAGTTTCCTAATGGCAGCCTAAGTAGGGTGCTCTAAAAAACCCAATACAAAATAAAAGCTTAGCACTTATCTAGATCCATCCAGTAGGCAGTAAGACTCACTTCCAAATTACCAGCTGCAGTGTCCTGGATAAGGTGCTAGATTAGGAGAACTGAAGAGGAGATATATGACAAGAAAGCCCACATAAATTCCACAGAAGAGATTAATAGTCTGGCAGAGACAGTCCTGCCTCCCTTTGTACATTAGATTCTACTGTAAAACAACACATACATGAAGTTACTCTTTCAAAGTACCCCTGCAACAGAAGCCTACAAAACTTCAAAAAGGGAACTGATCACTCTAGAAAACTGACATAAAGGAAGAGAAAGGATTGTGTAATCTTTCCTTACTAACCATTTTCATCAAGATTTTCCAACGTAATATAGGTCGTAAGTTGAGGGATCATAAGGAAATCCAATTTCTCATAAATGCTTCATATTTATTTTCAGAAATTCATTTTCTTCAAAAGTGTCCCATCTAGAGCTTCCACAAGAAACCCCATCCTCTAGAAAACTCTCATTAAGAGAACAGCATACATATAACCATTACTTCACACAGGTGAAGACTGTTTGCCCTAAGAAAATACTAAGAACATCTTGACCAAAGCCCCCATAACAGTATGGAGTGTAATACCTGATCAATACTCTGAAAGGAAAGGCAGTAAGAAACAAGCCTAATCTTCACACATCCACATCAGATAAAAACCCCAAACAAAATCTAGTGCAGATGCTAACATGAAAGACAACTGACTAACTCCTTCAGTACGACAGCATATGCCTCCCTGTATTCTGCATCCACAACATCAAGACTGCTCACCAGAAGAATGAAAGAAAGCTTTCTTGGGATGCAGCAGGGCAAACAACTGCAGGAAACGTGTCTTCAGCACCACAATATTTTTAAGTAAACATCTTACATCTTATTAAAATCATATGGGGCTTTCACAGCTGCAAGACTTGCTGGTCCTTACAGCTGGCGGCTCGCCATCTGAAAGGGAGACCACACCTTCTTTTGCACTGGTGCCTTCTTTCCACTGCATACTGCAAGAGAAAAGGGCATCCCTGACCATGCTCCATGAAGAGCATGCCGGTTCCTGCCAGCAGGAACAAAAGCACAACACCACCCCCCATATCCTCAGCTCTTCTGCCTGACAAGACAAGAATAAGGTGCTTTCTATTTCTTTTGTACACATGTGCTGCTGGAGAAGGACATCCCACCTGGTAAGACCTACCCCCCCACCAGCTTGAGCATTCATCATCCAAGGCTTATTTGCTACCTATTGCTGGAAGCAATAAGGAGAACAAAAGCATTTATTTGAGCTGTTCAATATCAGGTACAGAAATTTATTATACACATGAAACATCCTAAAAAGCTTCTTCCCACTTCCCTTCTTCCCTTATATCCCAATGCTGCTTATGCCCTCTCGTGGCAGAAACCACAAATTAATACTAGCTGGGGGCACAGAGACAAGCTGCTGAGTCTCACCAGGCTCCTTCCTCCCCCCCAGAAGACCTTTCATTTCCCTGGCTGGTGTTTTTCACTTGCACTGAAGGAGGCGAGGAAGGCGTGGGGCTCTGCTCCTGTCCCAACCACAGGAGCTCCAACACACCGACTGGGATGCTCTTTCATCAGGAGACAGCTACAGAGAATGTTTTGCTTGCTATTGCAGCAATTCAGCTTACAATCAAAGCACTGCTTAATTCACACGTGTATTTTGATTCAAATTGTTTTCCTGTAGGGGTTTGGGGTTTTTTTTTGGTTGGGTTTTTTTTTGTTTGTTTGTTTGTTAAGGCTGTCATTTAAATAACATGGGAAGGGAGTAAGCAGGGCCCACAGTAATAGCTAAAACAACCCACTAGATATATTGAACTGATGAAGACTGAATTCAAACATTGCTGAATAAAATGAACATGATTGACTTTGATATTCAAAAGGTGCCTAGAGGACATCAATGCCATATGTTCTAAATGAGATTTTATTACATAGTTAATGAGCATACTGGCAAGACCTGAGCTTTCTGTTTGCCATGAGAACAGCAAAAGGCTCAGAAAGCACATGCTGTGCCACAGCTGGTCAACCACCAACTCACCCAGGAAAAACAAATTATCTGTCCCCTACTGTCAAGGTGATACTGAAACTACACCTTATACTTGTAAGTCCATATTTTCTTTACACATAAACTTGTACTCACCTGACTAAAAGGGTCATTTCACAATATTTGGGCTTAGTGTATTTGTAAGCCTTTGGGTTAAAGAAGGCTTCCCTGAAGGCACCTCCCATGGATATGCTTACTAGTACAGCTTCACTGTACATGCAGGCTTTTAATGAAAGAATGGGGAACACTGAGGCTATTCACAGCTGCATTTAAAGTCATTCTTGGGGAATAAAAAAATAGCAAAAAGGCCCTAAATAAGAAGAAATCCCTCCTCCAACAGAGTCAAAAACTGGTATCCATCTTCTACAGAAGAATTTAAACTGATTTTTGCTGGGATTGTCTTTTTCTAGTTTTCTTCCTTTCAATCTCCCCTCATTTTTCACTTTCTTCTCCATTCTACTCAACAGGAAAAGGAGAAGGAGTGATGAGAGAAAATATCTGTGATTGAGTGTGAAGGTAAAAAAGCAGCCAAAATTAAATATTTTCAAAGATGTTTGCTTAAAGTTTATATAACTTTGACCAGCAATATTACACAGAGCAGTGAGAAATTCAGTATCTTGACTCCTTGAGAACAAATGGGATAATATGGTACAAGAAAAGGGAAGGATGGATTCTTACAAGTACTGTTTACACACGTTGAAGAAACACTCTCTCTACACGGCAATCTCTCCACCAGCTAAACAGAGTTGATTATGTTTTGAAGACACAGCCTGGTTTAGGTAACAGCGTGCCCTCACCAACAGCCTTTGGAAGTGGGCACTAACAACGTCTTTTTTATTGTTCTTGAGAAGGTTTTTCTCAGGTGAAATTCACTGTAGGCTTGCCGATACCAACTCCTTTGCCCTTCCAAGGTTCACTGGGAGCTGTATTTCAGAGGCATAATAAATACCATGAAGCAGCACTGTTACCGCATGCATCCTCTCTAATAAAACCACACAGATTTGGGGTATTGATCAGGACATTTAAGATCTTAAATAAAACAAACAAATAAATGAAAGAAACTGCCCTTAAGACTTCACTGAGCTCTAAACCAGGCCCTGTGGCTGAACAGTTTAAAAGCACACAGTAATGTAAATTCCGCTCTCTCTTTAAGGTCAAACTCCACTCATCTCCACAGGGAACAGAGCTGAGCCAAGACAACAAAACTGTTCTACTCCACCCTACTTATGGGTCTGGAAAGATGAGGCTTAGGACTCTTAAGAGACAGTGAGAGACAAACAGGAGGGAGGGAAGGATACTGAGGGTACTTGACGTGAGCCAGCAGCAAAAAAAGTCACAACAGAACACATACAAAAGAGATAAACCTTCCTCTGTTCTGAGACAAAACATGCAACATCATCTATTTTTATTAACATCTGCATCCACCTACCCCTTCTTCAAGTGAGTCACATAGGCACTCTGTAGAGCTGCTTCCAGGAAGTAGGAAAGTTCAAACTCAGAGTAAGTCACGTTGCTGCCCTTGACACTCCTTGAGTGTGTGTTGTTTAAGGTCTGCAAGGGGAGGAAAGAAATATCTGGGATTACAGACAACTGTTTGAACTAGCAGTTCCTCATGAGCCAGAGACATCTCCAACAATAAAATGTTCACTTCTGACATAACATTCCTCTTCAGACTACTTGAAGACTTACCTTCATTAGTTATTCAAAAACCTTTCAAAGTCAACTTACATGAATTACTCTGAATGCAATGAGTTTTGAAACACTATCCCTTATTACTTTCCAACCTTTAATAAAGTAGAAAGCTACACACAAATACCAAGGGCTTCAGAAGTACTACTTCAACCACATAGATGCAGCATCTTGCACAGAAATATTAGTGCAATGTTTGAGTAGGTATGTCTAGCTTAACATATTTGTTAGAGTTAGTAAACTATCAGGAATCCTGATGGAAGAATCTTAGCCTTTCCTCTGTTTCTCCAATCAAACCCTTCCTGCTTTTGCTTCCATACTGGTAACAAACACTTTTTTCACCTTGCTGAAAGTTGCCCTGTATGGAGTCTCCAAAGCAGGATTTTACATCCAGGACTGCAGAAGGCCTATGGATTTTAGTACACCTATCAGTAATCCTGCATCCTTGTCCCCATGTCCAGAAGATGAACAAGTTAGTTAAAACTCTTTCCCTTCTTCGCAGACACAAGCTGTCAGTAAAAACATTTACAGTGCCCAGTACTGGCAGGAACTTGTCCTTCCACAAGGGAAGGACAGTACTTAAATAAAATGCCATTCAGCTTTTTCCTACAAAGAAGCAGACCAGACAACTTATTAGCTGGCTTTCTTAATGCATTTTTATATATGCACTAATTTTTTCTTGTTTTAATGCAATTAAAAACAAAACCTGGAACAGACACATACCTTTGCTGCTGAGAGGAGCAGAAATACCTGGTCAGAAGGTCAACGGCCATTAAGTTACAGAAGAACATGTAACATGCATTGCATTAGAGCTTCTGGTATCAAGCATAATGAGTGGCAAAAGAAGGGCATGGGAGCGCATGGTGTGCCATGTTAAATTCAGCTAGGCAAGTTACAGAAGCAGAGACCACTAAACATGCGCTCAGCAAATCAGTGGCACAGCTCAGTGGAGGGCTCACAGTACTCCTCTTGCTCACCATCCTAGCCAACCACTGACTAAGCAGTTACTTGCTACTAATGATCTAGGTTCCTCCAGTTTCACTTGGAGAAGGCGAAGCACTGGCACTTAAGCTGCTATGGCTGACCTCAAAAGGTTACTTTCAGCTCATTAGGGATCTCAATATCCACTACTGTGTATCATTTACACAGCAGATATGCAAAATGCCTTGAGTTCCTTCATGCTGGCACTTGCTATGCAAAGTAAGAGCTAAACTTGAGATACAACCTGAGCATATCTGAAGTATTCGGTGCTTTCCAGACATCGTTCTCAGATGAAACTAGCAGAGACCAGATAAACTGCTTATACTGAGACACCTCACTCCTTCCAACTTATTCTCATACTCCTTATTGTCTACGATCACTCAGCATTTCCCCATCATTTTTGCTGTCAAAACCCTGGAAATTCCACCCAGGACACCAGGTAACACCCTGAGCACATTTCTTACCTTTTCAAGCTCCTGCAAGTACACCTGGGCAATGACACATGCTGTCTCAAAACAAGAGATGACTTCCTCCTCCCTTTCACACAGTCGAGCACGTGAGGCAACTGAGTTGGTTGAACGCTCCAGTGACAGACCTGCAAAATGGCAACACCTTCTTTAACTGGAGCCTATCAACAGCAGTATGGTCATGTCATTCCTTCATTTACCAGCTGACAGTAAATTTTTTCCACAGGTGGGTTTCCCCCTTGTTTCAGTGACTTTCAGAAAAAGACCCCCAGGAAAACATAACTCCTACGCATGCAAGGCATTTTGGTCATGCTTCTCAAACACCTAGTGCCACTGCACGCTTCTATGGTGCCTTTCAAACACCCTGGCACTGGATTTGACAATTTCTAAGCATCCACTATTCCAAGTGAAGCCTTCAATAAGCAGCAGTTTTGAGGGAAAAAAACCCTGGAAAATGATACCAAAACAAAGTTGGAAAATCTGAGGCCTCTCTTGGAAAATATGAGTACATGCAAATTGCACATGGACACACAGCAAGCTCTTGGCAAGGCACAAGAGACTCTTAACCACAAGATCACCCTCTTTTTCAAAGAAAGGAAAAAACCCTGGGTTTTGTACTACTAAAACTCTTCTTTATCATCACTCGACCCCATTTACAAACAAAGAGCATGTTAATTGAAGACCCACAGCTACTGTCCCTACATGAAAACCTTTTATTCCCAGATCCTTGTCTAGCATCACACTATGACATCCTTTATATCTCTGTACCTGTTTGGAGAGGCTACATATCCACATGCCAATTTTACTCTGATCAGTGTAGGTTCTTATGCCACACTGGACCTTTTCAAGACACCACTGCTTGGAAACTCACGTCTTCTACACCATACACAACTGTACTGATGCCCAGTAGCCCAACACAGGTTGTAAAAAGTTCAGCAAATACTTCCCAATAAATTTTATATATTACAACATTCCCTAATACCAATTAAAAAATGTATAAGATGTAACACAAAATCCTAGTACTCCTAGTACAGATTCACAGAGGTCATGAAAGAAGAGAGTTCAGCTGTTTGGACAGTCTCTCCAAAGAATCGATGTAGACTGCTGCAGCATATGGCAAAGGATTCTGCTTCATGTGAAGAGCTGCACTTTCCTGGGCCCCCACGATCCCAGGAAGCACAGCATCTCAGCACAACTCATGTCAAGAGTCTGACAACAAATCCTTGTGAGGCAGCAATGGGGAGCTAAGCTTCCCCATGATGAATGATGTAGTACAAGCACTCATGCTGGAGGAGCCTGAGGCTCCTAGACAGTCTTAGTTTTGTTTATTTCTCATGTTCAACATTTCTCTTTTGTCCCCTTGGTTATTCTGCTAGGAGTTTCCCTATCTCATGTCTTGTATCTGAGCCAGACATGACCAGTTAGTTCAGTGGGTTGAGAAGATGCCCTACTGGTGCAAGCTTGGGAGGTGGCTCCCCACTCCTTCTGCCTTCTCCCAAGTCAGAAGCACATAGCATGTTCCCTCAAGGACCTCTCTCAGAGAAACACATTAGTACCTTTCACCTTTGAAAATCCTGACCAGAATAGAGCAGGGGGAGCTGATTTACTTTAAATCAGCTGTATGTGGGGGACAGGATCAACAATGATTTTGCTGCTTTTAACTAATGCCCTTTCTACTGACATACACCACGTACAACACCCGACATAGAACAGATTTTATGTCCCAGTCCACCTATGAAGTCTCTGGCTTTATTTCATAGGTTGTTTCCTGTTATTTTCACTTCCTAACCCTCTTGCTATGTAAAGAAGGGGAAAAGAGGATGTTAACTCTCTATAATAGAAACCCATCTAGTGCTGAAACTAGAACAATCAACCTACAAATATTCTTCTTACAAGTGTCTCAGTTTTACCTACCTCTGAATTTCCAGTCATTCCCCTTAACTGAAGATAAATTTAAAAAGTGTTGCTTTTCAGAGACACTATCCCCTTAAGTGCAAAGTGGGGCCCTGAAAGAAATCTAGTACAATCCACTGACATTCATACACATGCAGCATTTAATCAAACTGCAAGAGCCATCCTAGCACAGTCTGTATGGGGGTGGTTATCGTGGGAGATGTCACACAGAGAGAACAGGCTGATAAAAATCCATTTACATACATGCTACAGCCCACTGCAAGGAGCTACTATCTCTAAGCTCTGACATGAGGGAGGAAAGCAAGCACTAAGCACTGAAAACAAACATGCCTATCCGTGCGGTCAGAAAAACAGCTGTGGCTGATCAGATACTGGGGAACAAACATCTCCAAAAAGATTTCTTGCCACAGTAAGTACAGAGAAATATACAGTGTATTAAAACAGATACTATGCTATATTGCACAAATTTTTCTACTTGTAAAAGTCAGGAAGGAAAAATGACCCACATGATGTGACATTAGCCAAGTCTGCTAATTCCATACGCACTGACCCAAAGTCATCAGAGGATAAAATCTTCTACAGAATCTGAAGGGCTGTTCTTCCTTATCCTAGAAACACAATGAAAAGAAAACACAAAGCAAGCAGACTGCAAATCCAGTAGACAAAGTGAAGAACAGAGGAATAACAATAAAAGTTCCCTACTCTTGCAGCCATCAATTCAGTTCTCTCAGTGCAAAGCCCCAACAATTACAGTTTTGCTTAAGGTGTAGTTGGACAAGACTGTTTACAAGCCCTCCAGACCTGAGAGCACAAATTCCACTAACTCTTTTCCATTCCTCAGTTATCAGCACAGAAAAAGCTTTGCAGCACAACATACATTTTAAATTCAACTCAGTTTCCAAAAAGTGTCGGAAAGCCACAAAACTGCATGCTACTTCCACACTGGATTTAGCAAGAAAAGTGTAGCTCTTGCTAAGACAGAATTAGCTTCTGACTAAAGCATAAAGCCATATGCTTTCTTGGTAGCTGATTAAGGTAAAGGGACACGGGTATTTTTCACAACCAGTTATGGTAAGATAATATCAACTTACAACTTACCTATGCTCAGATTTTTCTCATATGAATCGGGTGTCCAAATTTAAATATATACATACATACATACCACAAGAACATTTTATATAGTGAAGATACGAATTTCTAGTAGAGTATGGCCCAAGCTCAAGATTTAGAGGGAGACATGTTTCCAGATTATCCTTTTTAAAAGAACAAACTCTTTCTACCTGCTTCAGAGGCAGTAATTTTCTACACAGAGAAACACTGCTTTTCTTTCCTGCATAGATAAGGCTTCCATTCAACTCCTCTAGTTCTCCCAAAGATTCATCTCTGACTCTTGATTTCTCTATAATCTTTGCTCTTTTTTCTCCCCTTCTAAAGCTAACGTGCATTTATGTCAGAAAAAAAAACAAACCCATAGGTTTGTAAGAGGTGTCACTGAACGAAATTCTTCCTAGAGCTGAAATGCACTGCTCTCATTTATAGAAACCTGAAAGGGGAGATTTTATGAAGACTTCTTTCCACTTTCATCTCACGCAGTCCTTGCCAAGGGAAGGCTTTGTATCATGTAATTCCAGTGCTCTGAGGTGATGTTATTACCAGAACTGGAACATACCTGTGTACATGGACACGTATCAGATTCTCAGCAACATAAATGAGATGAAAATCCATGCTAGAAGGGATCCCAGGAGGTCCATGGTCCAACTTTCTGCTCAAGGCAGGGCCAGCTCAGGGTGTTACTCAGTCCAAAAGCCTCAGTGCATAGGTGGAGACCACACAACTGCTACAGAGGAGACCGAGGTGGCTTTCTTCTCCTCCAGTTCATAAACTAGTTCACCAAATAGCAGCATTCCTCCTTCCAAGTACGAAGAATATACTAATCCACCCAAAAGTTCTTTTAATCTTCCTTTTTACACAGACTTCTGGCCTCCTGTATTTGGATGAATTTACACAACTGGGGAATGGTGGGTTCATAGGTGCAAGAATTCAGGGTCAGCAGCAGCACCCTACTTTCACCAACAGTGTTAGCATGCAGCTGCTAAAACCCCATAAGCCCAGAAGCATCAGAGCTACCTAGCAATCTAAGGAAGGACTCGAAGAAACACAGAGCGTGAAGCCTAACTCTAGTGTTGTGTCCTGGTACTACACTCGCGTTGAATACAGCTATGGCAACCTGAAGCAAAAGACAGCTTAGGGTAGAATTTACAACCCTGCCAACAACATAAGCCCCAGTTTGAAGAACAAGGTTACAGCATCTATGGTCCTGTGCCACACAGACAGGCCATCCTGGCCAGAAGTCAGCGCGCTGCTAAGCTAAATGCGTGAAATAGTTTTACTCTAGCTACAGAAAGGTAAGTAATTTGTCTTGAGGTAGCAGGGTGTGAACATATTGCACAACTGCTTCAAGGAAATGGGTTGTGTGCACATCCTCACTCTGTGGTGAACACCAGGTCATTCCGAGTAGCTGTCCTCAAGGGGAGAGTGCACTTCATTTCCAGCATGGGGCCTTCAGCCTAGTTCCAAAGTGTGCCTCTAGAAAATCAATTAGCATTGAAACAGGACTATTTTTAAGACTATGTCTTCACGCACATACACACGCATGCTGACTCATCAAAGTTCAGCAGAATACTACACACTTTTCAAAGACAAAATTCAAAAGCACAACCAAACCATTTTAGAGTTGGTATTATGACCAGCCTGCCCCACTGGGTAAGGTGTGAACTTAAAAAGCACAGCCCTCAATCAAACTATTACAATAGTGTCTTGGAAAGCAAAATAGCATGAACCTCAACAAGCCAAAGCAGCAGTCACAATTAGGTTGACATAGGCAAGACCCAGCACTATGCATTATTTCTGACACAATTCACAGCAGTTTAAATAATTCACATCATGGGTCTTGACACTCATCTCCCCAGCAATTAAGCTGTGATTTTTCAGCAGTATATATTTGCAATGCAAATAGAAGAAGAGGGGGAAGAAAGGCCTAGAAGCCCCTGGTTTTGAACATGTTCATTCATACTGCACCTCATGAAAGCTGGGGAGGAAAAAAGTTTTGTTTTGCAAGAAAGCTGCACAAACTTCTTTCACCATTGCTTGCTATTACACAGGATTATTGTATATTCACAGCAATCCTGTATAATCTTGAGGTATTTTTCACATA